CCTTATGTGAATGGTGGATAAAACCACAACAGCTTGGCAAGTCATGAGACCTTTCTGGGGTCCCTTGATTTCCTCATCTATAAAGTGACGGTAGAGTAGACGGTCACCAAGGTTCCTTCTGTGGACTAACGGAGGCGCTTTAATTCTGCAGATACCCAAGACCTGGCGATGTGCCCAGCAGGCTTAGAAAGTGCTGCTTCTTTGATGGAACAAACAACGCCAATGGCTCACGCTCTGTGTTCAGGTTCTCTTTAAATGTGGCCCAGCAGCCTCTTCTTTCACATTATTCCATTTGAGTCCTGGAAATATGTTAGCCTGGAGCAAGGCTAAGCCAGAAACAGCAAGAGGACAGCTCTGGTTGAGGAAAGGCGACTCTAAGAGAATGATCACGCTAAGCTTTCCATTACACTGGCTTTAAATGGAAACCCACCCAGATGGCAAGAGCACCTCGGAATTAGGTAAAACGAAAGGATATCCAGAAGGAACAAAGGGCTGTATGTTTGTGAGAATCTGGAACAAGACCCCTAACTTTGGTTTGCAGAATCCTAAATTAAAAGATGTCCTAGTGCACTTATTTTGAGGAGATGGTTATCTTTTCAGTATCAGCGTCTGTTTCTAAATTAAATTTTGGATGTTGGTGGGGAATTAAGAAGAATGTTTAATGAGGCCCGTCAGCCTTGCCGGGTCTCTACCTCAGGCAGCCCCTCTGGCTGGCCCTCTTCCTACTCACTTTAAGAGGCCTCAGGAAGGTACAATTTTCTCATCACTGTATGACATAGAAAACCCCAGCCCCTATCATGCTGGCAACTTCAGAAACCCTTAGAAAGTCTAGCTAAAATTAACTCCTTAAAATTTTTAAGCACAACTTGATCCTAAATGTAAGTTCCTTTGTTTTGCTCTCCTAGAGGCTGAAGTAGGTGGGGGAAGGAAGATATCATTGTTCTCTTACTAAATCCCCCTTCCTTTCTACTTCCCCAGAGCAAAGGAGAAGAGTGAGGACACAGGCCAAAGAGGAGAGGGAGACAGAGGAGAGCAGAGAGATACGGAGGCGAGAAGACTGAAGAGGTGGAGGAGGGAGGGGGAGGGAGGGGGTTTGGAGTGCGGAAGGGAGCTGAGGTATCTGCAGCTGTGGCCTGGAGCCACCCACCTCTGTCCTCTGAACACTGCCCCTGAGGATACAGCTCTGCCTGGACCTTACAAAGAGCTACAAAGGCGGTGGAGAGACTGAGCTAGACAGTACTACAGTGAATGAGGGGGCGATGGCTAGCACAGGCGCAGATTTTTGTAGACAGTCTCGATTTCACATATTCTATTCTGGAATGTCACCCAACTTTTGTGGTTGACACAACCCTGCCTTCCCACACCCACATGCCTCCTGCACGACTGCGTGGTTTCCCCCCCGTCCCTGTGCACACCCAGGATGCCCAGAGCCAGGATAACAGTCTTTATAAGCCCTGCTCCTCCAGAAGCACCCAAGGCAAGGCCTGAGGGAGCCCGTCCGGGAATCGCGTTTGCTGTCAGAGACATGGTACTCGGAGGCAACAGAACAGAATGGGGAAAGGCATAGATTCCGGAGTCTGGCGGCTCAAGCCCACAATCCGGCCTGCCTCCTACCAAGAGGTATGATCTCGGGCAAATTACTTACTGCCCTGTTCCTCAGTTTCCCAGGCTGTAAGCTGGAGATGATGCCAGTACCTGCCTGGGAAGGGTGTGGTGAGGATGAAGTAAGTTAACACACGTAAAGCACATGGGAGTGCTTGGCCCACAGCACATGCCATAGGGAGTGCTGGTTCTTATTATTTTACCACGACAAAGGGCAAAGTCACAGAAGCAAACAGTTTTGGACCACAGCATCTCTGAAGTAGGGGTTAGCCCAGGGATAAGAAGATGACATTTGTGGAAAAGTAGAAAGCTCCTTCAGATAACTTGGGTCTCTCCTGATAGATTATTTAGTGAGTCTAATACCTCGTATTACAGATGAGAAGGCAAAGGCCCAGAGAATGAGTAGCCTGACCAATTGCTGCAAAGTGAGTGCAGGGAAGGGAGTTTACAGAATAAAACCCAGGCTCTGAACTCCCTACCACTGTTTGCCTTGCTGAGCCAATATGCCAATGAGCCTTCCTACTCCACGTTTAGTTTGACTACTTACTTATATCCGAGGCTTATTTGATTTAGTTTTGGAGAATGATCTGCATAATCAGGGGAAGTAGTTTCAATATGAGGTGTCAAAAGTTTAATAATTTTTTAGATTCTTTTGCAATTCATGTGTATAGATGGATTTTCTAGACCATGGATGCAATGGAAAAAAATCTAGAGCCAACATCCACCTTTTGCTCTTTTTTTAAGAGGTTGGAGGGAGTCCTGACAAAAGCACAGAATATGGTTAGAACTGGATTACATGATCAATCATCAAAGCAGGGAGCCCACTCTTTATCTGTACATGTGTTTGGAAGGTTTTCTGAATCAGAGGGCATCACTGGGGCAGAATTGTTGGGGCTGCCTGCTGGTAACCTGTAGGTGTATAGAAGCTGAATGGGCTTCCTCTTTAAAACACTGAAGTTCACTTTTCTTTCTGTCATTTTGCGTTCCATAGACATTCAATTTATGGCTGTTGGCATGCAAAGGAAACAGGATAATTCAGAGGTTACAAAAATAACTCCTTTAACATTGATCTTGGTAGAACCCCAGCAGAGGAAAGGGAACTTTTAGCAGCCAGAATGGTCCCTTTATGGTAAATCAGATCATGTCCATCCTCGGTCCAAGATGCTGTGATGGTTCCGAGTTCTTCCAAAGGCTATGAGGCCCTATGTGGCCCTACCCGTCTCCTCTCCAAGTGCCTCCCTCTCTCACTCCAACCCCGGTGCTTCTCCTGCAGACCCTCGACCATACCTGATCTACCCTGTTGTTCCCCCAACACTATCTCTGGCTCTACTTTTTCCTTTTCTCCACATCGTTGGTCACTTTCTAAGCTACAATGTAATTTTATTATGTTTACTGTTCATTATCTCCTCTTCATTAGAATGTGAGTTCCAGGAAGGCAGAAGCCTTGTCTGTTTTGTTCTCAGGTGAATCACCAGTGCCTGGCGCCCAGAGGACTCAATAAATATTTGTTGGACAAATGAGAAACTTGCTAAAGTGCTACTGGGGTGGTAACCTCCACTGAGACTGTTTGCCTGAGAAATAAATGGCCTCCCTTTGAAGTACCTCTTTCTCTTTCCATAGCGCGAGCTTGCATCTCTCTTGCCGTCAGATCACCTCCCTCCCTCCTTAGACCCAAGTGTGGTCGTGTGCCTTTCTCCTGGCCATGGGGCAAGGCTGAAGTGCAAAGCCCACAGCCACCACACTTGTCCTAGCTCTCAGGTGGAGTTCTGGGGACAGCGCCCTGGGCCTGAGCTGAGATCTTCTTGCTCTACCTGCTCAGGAAGAGGGCATGTGGCTCTGACTTCTCAGTGTCAGCCTGGGGCGCTCACAGTAGAGTGACACTTGGCCACACCAGCCAAATGCTCTTGGGTAGCAAGAGGGGCCCTTGTGTCTCCAAAGCTCGGGGCGCCAGGGGGATTCATCCTCCAGCACAGCTGGAGAGTCTCCAGCAGCCCCCAGCTCTGAGCTGTGGATCCCGCTCCGGCCCCTGACTCTCCCACGCCTTGTTAGTGCCTCTGCCACAGGTGGGTGGTGGTGAAACCCAGTCTTTGTCAGCCTTGCTCATCTGAGGTCCCAGCAAAAGAGGTGGTGAAACCCAGGGGTGAAAGTCGGGGGAGAGATGTAGTTTTGGATTGCAGTTATCCCTCCTATCTCTAACTCCATTACTGAGAATAAATGAGATGGCTACAAAATAGGACTCAATAAGGACGATGAAAGGAATCACGTATTTCATAAAAAAGAGTGAAGACTTTTCTTTTGGTCTTGCCTACCAACTCTTGTCATGTCCGTGATCTCATCTCCAAAGACCTGAGGTGTTTTTTTGTTTTTTTTAAATTTAATAGCCCATAATTACTTAATCATTCCAGCTCTGCCACTTGTTCTCAGCTTTAAGTGCCAGATAAACACGTTGTTTATTAAAGGGGGTAGCCTAAATTCATGGAAAAACCAAAACAATTTGAGAATTTCTTAACAGTGATTCCTGTCTTACAATGAAAGCATGAAAGGAGGAAAAAATGTGTTGAACTACTAAAATGGTTTCCTTCTCAAGGTTTGTTTGTTTAGAAACTCAAACTTCAAAATTTAAATTTCAACCTGAGTGTTAGTTTTTGCACTCGAAATCAATGTGCTCCCCACATAAGCAATTCTTAACCAGTATGTGGGCTGCTGGTGAGCCTCGGAGTACCTTAAACCCTTATCAATGTTGCCGATCACTTTTGATCCGTGTGAAAACTCTACTTCTGCCATGGTCGGGCTTCAGGGGACTGTTGGGCCATGTGTTTCAGGCAGAACAGGAACAGCTGAGCTGAGGGCATACTCAGGGTACTGGTAAGCCCGGATGGAGAGGAAAAAAGCACCCAGAAAGCTCCGTGTCTACGGGAACGTGGAGAATGTTGCCTCATGAGTATGTGGGAGAACTCAGCTAGGGTGAGGGCCAGGAAGAGATAGCAAAGTCAACAAGCCACAACCGTGAAGGCAATCTGATCCCTCAAGTGTGCCATGAAAAAGTCTAAAATCAAAGTAAGACAGTAAGACTGAAAACCACCCCTCCAGCCTTTGATTAATAGGAAATGTTAACAGGAGGAGAAAATTATGAGAAGAAATAGATTTTAAACCCTAATACATATCTTAAACCTGGAACGTGATTCTGAAATTTGAGCTAAAGAGTCACTGAATATAAAAGGAAAATTTAAAAACAAAAAAACAAAAAAGACACCGGCTATATTTTATCTTATAAAACACGTTTTATAAGATAAAACCCATAAAACATTAAAAAAAGATAAGGAAAAATAGGCCACTGGATTTCAAAAAACAAAAAATGAACCAACAAAAAAACCCATTTCAATCCCTGTGGTACATACCTTCCAGTGAGGCCTGTAAGTCTTTCATATTTTGATCTAGAAGCTGTGAAGGAAGGAATCCTGAGCCTGTCTGGGGCTTGGGGTCTGGCTCTCCTGGGGCCGCAGTGGGTGCTGGCTCCTTCACCCGACTGTCTCCAAACACAGCAGCCCACTCTTTGCTGAACTCGCCCTCTTCCAGGGAGGAAGCGTTGAAGATTTCACTCAACAGCAGCAGGTCATCTTTGTCAGCACCTTCAGGTTCCAGGGTCCCTGCCATTGGGCCCAGGCAAGCTGATCAAAGCAACAGAACACGAAACATATCACCACCAAGGGCCCAGGCCCTAGGGAATAAATGTAGTGGGGGTTGGGATGGGACAGACCAGGTGATGGCTAGATTTTTTAAAAAGTTAATCAAAATATAACTTAATTCCCTTACAGCCTCTAAAGAAATTTTGGAATTAAATTTCTAGTCCCACTGAAAACAAGCAATACCCTGTGAGGACTTCCTGGGGACAGCCCCACCGCCCATGTCCCCTGCCTCTTGTTCGTATAAAAGCTTTAGTCTCCTAGGCCTTCCCAGAGTTCGAAAGAGAAAATTTAATCAGAGAAGTAAAAAAACAAAAACAAAGGAACACAGTCAAACAAGACAAAATAATAATAGCTGAGCCATAAAACAAAGTCAAAGACCTTTAGTTTCTCCTCAAGGGTTATAGATAATATCCTGAGCCATATCCTTGAGTTGTTTTACAGATACTAAAACCCCCACCCAGTGGAGGAAGTTAACTGCATGCTGACCACCAGCATGTAGACGGGTTGGAACCAGAAGGTTGATGACTGAGATTCCTGTAACATCACCTTGTTACCTTACCATCAACCAAGCAGAGAAGTGTATGAGTTGATCAGACACCCTGCAAGCCACACCCCTAAGCTTGCCTTGAAAACCCTTTCACTAAAAGCCATCGTGGAGTTCTGGTCTTTTGAGCATGAGCTGCCCGTCCTCCTTACTTGGCTCTACAATAAATGCTGTACTCTCCTTCACCACAACCTGGTGTCAGTAAATTGGCTTTGCTGCTAGTTGGGCAAGTGGATCCTTGTTTAGTTCTCATGCATTCTCTTTCCTTCAAAGCAAGTCCAGTTTCTGAGCATCATTAGAATTGCATTGAAATAGTTTCCACAAAATTCTAGAGTGTTGGTTTCTCCTTAATATAAAAGCACATTTACCACCAATACATTTCTCAGACATGAAACAAAGCCAGGATTGAAGGCATGTTGGAGATCCTAGTTCCTTGTTTATATAGCTTCCCAAATCTTCCCATACAAGCCCAAAATTCACAACCAACACACCATGTGGCAGCCTGCCCTGCCAACCAGGATGAGAAGGGGAGCCTCACCAAGCCCAGACTGACCCAGGGAGATGGGAGCAGAGGTATCAGGAAGTGTAACAATGACCAAGAAAGACATCCTTGCTTCCTGTCTCATTTGCGGCACCCCAAGTGCATAAAACAAAGGAAAAGCGGGTCTGGTTTGCCTGAGGGTAGCGGTGAAAGAATGACAGGAAAACAGGGCAAATCACACACGGAACCACTAGAGGATGAGCTTCACAGACCAAAGACACAGCCCTGGAGGGTTGGAGTGAGCACTGGACCAAAGGAGGAGCCCCTGGACCTTCCTTTACTTGCTGTGTGACTTTGGCAAGACCCGTAACCCCTCTGGGCCTCTGTTTTATCATCTATAAAATTTTATTAATAATGCCCACTTGAATATCATCAGGAAGATCAAAAGAAATACAACTGAAACCTCATTGCCAGTCCAAAAGGAAGACTTTTGAGATTCATTCTTAGAATATGAACAATGACAAACTACTAAAGAGTGAGTACAAGTAGAATGGGGGCATTACTATCACAAATCCTAAAACCTTTCATTGAGTTTTCTACATATTTTGAAAACCAAGAATTGATGATTTTTTTAAACTCTGGCTTTGTTATGGTGTCTAACTGCCACTTGGAAACTACAAACATTTTTGTTGTTAAGTCATGAAGAGAGGGAACAATCATGATTTACATTTTCTCTGAGCTAGATGGTAACGCTGACACTGTCATATTAAGTGAGGTGAACAGGTTTCCCTCAAATGTATGAGATAATTTTTAAACAGCCTTCACATGAATTAGATAAAGCTCTTATATCTCTGTCGGCTTTACTGGATCTATTTTCAACAACACTTTATAGAAAGATCTATGATAGAGGGGATTTTGGATGTGCTGTGCAGACTGGCTATCCATCAGGGAGGGGAGGGGTCCAGGCATGCTCGTATCACTGTGGTTTAAAAATAGTGGCGAAATACCACCTTAATTGGACAGCTGTCTAATTTAAGCATTCTTCTTGTTTGTGTTATCACAGAGGTTTGCACTAAGATATAGCCTGTAGGTGTGGTGGTGAGAAGATTGGGAAAACGGCATTTTACTAAACAAGCTTCTGAGACAGTTCTGTAGTGACAGAGTAGTGCAGGAACCACTTAGGCCTGTACGTGGTAGGGAAGGCAGGGCAGGAGAGGTGAGGCAGCTCACCGCTGTGAACAAAGGAAGGAACCTCGGCTGTGACAGGGTGTGTCCATCAACATGCATTTGGGTGTCCTTCCTCTCTCCCCCTCAGTCTCTCTCAGCATCACCCTTTTTACATCTATTAACTTCACAAATCTCTGTACTTCCTACTTTCAGTTGGGACCTGAGTGCCCAAATCTTTTCTCATGGTTTACTTTCTGGCCTGACTGAAACCAGATGATTGCTGAACCAAACTCCTTTTATTGGAACCAATTCAAGTTGATGTACAGACCCTAGAGAAACAGATGACTTTAAAGGAACATTGAAAATTATGTGCATTCCTCCCAAAGTCACTTTACAGCTCTCCACTGAGTCAAAGCCTCGGGGAGCCTTCGTTGCTTTCATCTAGATGTCAATCCAGGGAAAATCACAACCAACATTAGCAACTACAAATAATAAACCTTGAGAGCCTTTCAAAAATAACCACAGACTGGAAGAGCTCTTTGTGTTTACTGTTTAGGTTTTGTGCGATGGTATTTAGAGTAGACCTCTTTGGGTTTTGCTAACTTAGCATCCCTTTCTTCCCCCTCTTTAGTTTCCCTTCGGGGAGACACCTTCTCCTCTGATCCTGGTGAGATACCACTTAAGATGCCTCACCACCTCATCCCAGGTGGATGTGTGACCTAGGCTGGCCAGAGTCTTTCATTTCTCAGTGCATGGTGACTGGTTCAGGGATGGGCTTCCCTGAGTTTGGAATATGGAAGCTGGAAGGAAAAGGGGCTCTTTTCTTTGGGATTCTAAGTTCTAAAGATGCAGAACTGAAGCTCCCAGTGATGATGGAGCCAAACAGGGAGGGAAGAGTCAGAAACAGAATCCTGACAACACTGTTTAAGCCCCTGGATACAGCCTTGCTTAAAGTCAATCCGCCTAAGTTACATGGACCAATATCCATACATTCTTTTATTTTCTTTTAATTTTAAAGCTAAACTGTTTAGAGAAGGATTTCTATTACTTCCAACCAAATGATTCCCAACTAATAATCTATCCTATCCAACTCAGATTTAGTGACTGAAATAAGAAAAGGACCCACGGGGAGGATGATACTGTCCAGAGCTAGCTCTGAATTGAGATTTAGTCTAAGGTCTACCATTGAATGTGGTCTATTACTTAGTGTCCTGGTTATTTAACAGTTAAAGCAGGCTGCACTGTGGATATTTTCTCTTTTAAGAAAACCTGTTAGCTGAAAGCAATGAAACTGACACTGACTTGAACCTGAAAACAGGGAAACCTCCTAACTATTGCCCTGATAATTAAGATGCTTGAAATTACTGTACATAACTTGTAAGAAGATCACAAGTGAAAAAGGACAGGTTTAGGTCTGTAACCAGACAAGTCAAGACTTGAAAAATAACACTAGTCAGTTGGCTCTTAAGAATCATGCTATCATTTTCTCTGGAAATAATTCAACTCAACTGTGAGAAAATGAGGACACACAGAGATACGATAAGCTCTTTGAGAGAAGCCTGGTGAGAGTTACAACTGGAGTCACGGCCTCCACCGTGTAGATGAGCAAGCGTTGCTCCTGGGTTACGGAGCCCCACCCTGCCTTTGTCTTAAAGAATGAACAAAGAGATTGCAGGGGCCAAATCCACAGATACTCCTCCCAGCCCCCTTCATGCCCTTGCTGGCTCTCAAGTCTCCATGTTTACTTTCCTATCAGTAACCCAACCACAGATACTACTACAAAAATAAAGGGCAACACACGTGACATACTCAAATTCTCACTGCTTGGCCTACAGCTCTACGACCCTTCATGCACTCCCTCATCCTTTGCAAGATTAGCCCTCCCTATGCTTTCCCCATGCTTGTGGGAGCCTGCTCTGCTCCCAGTATTATTCCAACATCAGCATCTGTAATTGTTCATTCTCCAAGGCTTCCTCTCCCTGACCTCAGGTGTGTGCACAGCCAACAATGTCAATCTTCACTTGATGGTACTGTCTCTCCCCACACACCCCCTGTCAACTTACTGTCCTAGTTTCTTCTTTCTTCTACAGCCACACACTCTACTTTGTCACCACTCTTTTTGGGGCTGTCTGTAATCAAGTTCCTGCCCCCACCTACACTGAAGTGGCCCTCTTGAAGGTTAACAGAGAGATCCTCATGGCAGATTCCAAGCCCCTTTTCTCAGGCTTTGACCTCTGTAGCACTTTGCACTAATGCCCGCTCTGGAAATGCTGTCATCTCCTGTGAGTCCCCATCAAGTGGCTCTCTTGGATGTCCTCCTATCTCCTTGATAATACTTTCCCTGCTGCCTCTTCCTATTCTGGTTGCCCTTAAGATTTCTTCCTAAGCCATCATCTCTCTCTTCCCTACATTCTCTACATAGAAGATCTCATTTGTTCTCATGGTTCCAGCGTTGCTTGGGAACATTCTCAAATCTCCATCTCCAACTCCAACTTCTTTCTTGAACTTGGATGACAAATTCCTACCTGGGGGCCCTTAGGGGTTTGCCCATTGGCAAACCTGCTGGCGCTCCATAAAAGGCACCCTCCTGTTGTATACCTTTGCTTAATTCAGCTGTGAGGTTATTACTCCCTTCCTCAAAAACCTTCAATGACCCCCTCTGACTCCTGAGTGAAGTAACACTCCTTACGGTGGGTTCAGGACCACTACAGTCAAGCTTTAAGGCAGCTCTTTCAGCAGCTAGCTGACACTGCCTTCAGGGAAGCCTACGATTCAGCAAAACTCCTCCGC